TCCGATGTTCTTATCTTCCACTGCTCTTTTGTCTTCTGTAAAACGGCTTCTATCAGCACCAAACATCATCGATTGGTCCTATATATCCAGCACAACATCAAGATGATCATAAAAAATGTATCAGGGATGATTGTTTTCCATTCTTGAATGGATACTCAAGTTCTCTCAAATTGCAGTAAACAATGTTTTTCTTACCTGCAAATCACATTCTCCTCCCTGATCACAGATTGGACAGTCAAGAGGGTGGTTGGAAAGCAGGAACTCCATGACTCCCTCTCTATCATAAGCACAATAAAAAAATTATAAATAAATAAATAGTACATGTGATGATGACAACTCCTTGGAGTAGTATTTTTAAAGCAAGAAACTACTTCTCAAACCTGGCTTTTCGTGTTTTCTCTGAGTTGGTCAATATGTTCCACCCTTTCATGACAGGCATTGCACACGCTGCAACAGGCTGTTGATGAAGAACAGATGCTTAAATTAAGACTCTTCATGTATTTTGATAATAAACGATAATGTGTAATGATGACATAATCTTAATGCTTTCAATGGTGCATGTACCTTTGGCGCTCTCTCGATTTCCACCAGACACATGCGGCAGTTACCGGCCACTGACAGACGATCATGATAGCAGAAACGAGGAATCTGCACGCCAACTTTCTCACAAGCCTAAACACAGTTGGCATGTCAACATTAACATGGAAAGTACAATCTTTGCATAGAATAATTAAAAGGAAATGTCTCTGCATCATTACCTGTAGTACAGTAGTCCCTGGCTCCACCATGATAGGCTTTCCATCTACAAACACTTCAACCATATTGCTTGAGGCCCGGATTGATGTCCACACTGTCGCAAAAACAAGCAAGTGTGAGAAAATGACTGGCAAACCAGTAAAGTTGCTCAGCATTCTTAAAAATGTGCATCACACATTGAAAGATTGAAAAAAGAATGCATAGAGCAAATTACCATTGTTAGTGGTGGCAATGGAGCCCTTGGAATGGGCCGCCCCAGCCAAAGCCCGACTTACTGCTGGCAAACGCAACATGTTGCTGTAAAAGAAAATGGCAAGTGATTACAAGCACACGTAATATGTTGATCCCCACTATTGGAATGCATAGTATCTAGGTTAACAATGGATAAACATGCCACAGTACTTTGTAACAAAAGGAAATTACAAATAAATAGCCACAATATTTCTTTCTAATCAGACCTTAGGTGTGCAAAAAAACAGTATTATTTAATAAATTCCTTTTACATTCAAATCTCGGACGAGTGCAGACTATAAGTTACATGGCAAAGATTACAAAACCCCAATTTCATAACAGCAACATAGCGTGTTTGTATCCTTACAAAAGAACCATTTTCATTTAACTATGTAAAGGCAAAGTATATGATATATCTATATTTTACTGTAAAGGCAAAGTAGATTAAAACATAATTCAAAACCAATGCTGTGTTGACATTTCCATTCTACACACACTAGTTACGTTAGCAGGCTAACACTCAGAGGCGCAGTGGCTTCAAGGACAGGGGAGAACATTACTGTAAATTACCCATGTTTCGCATGCGTTTATAAAGCCAGCAGTTATTCACAAAGCAGATGTCTAGACAAAACGATGTTTACACTCTAATCTAGACAAAATGCAATATTTAATTCTTACCTTGACGCTATTTGGCCTTCTAGACCAGAACAGCGCTACTACTGCTGTAGGTTCAGTTATGAGTGACTCGGGTGATTACGGAGGAGATGACGGAAATAGCCGATTCACATCGAGCATTGAAACTTGATAATAAAAACATTGAATTGGGTCAGATTATTCTATAATATAGAACATTAATGCGTTCATGTATGTAAAAATACATTAATATATTAAATTATTTTTTTTAAATAATAAAGCCAACGTTTTGTGTTGACGATTTATAGTCGTCATTTCCGCTCATAAAAGCGGTCGTTTCCTTCTCTCTTTCACGTTAAAAGTCAACAAGACAACACGTTTTTCGGTACGAGATGTATCTGTGAAAAGCAGGATATGCTTATCTTGCTTATCTACAAATGTTACGTGATACCTACCGCAAATGACTGTCAAATATATCTTATTTTTTAATATTTTTTAATAAAATATGTCAGCGTGGGAGGAGTCATGGCGTCAGACGTATAAAGACGATCTCACGTTCTTTTCTCGTTCCTTCGCTCTTCCTCCAAGCTCAGGGTTCCACGTCTGTACACGAGGTCTCACCGGTAACTTACAATAATGGGCTTTGGTGATCTCAAAACACCCGCTGGACTCAAAGTTCTGAATGAGTTTCTGGCAGACAAAAGTTATATCGAGGGGTAAGCTCTTTTGAAAGTGTTTTTGTCTCCTTAGTTGCCCTGTAACAACTCATGTCTATACTTTTTTCCATATGCTGTAATACTATAATCATTTCTGATTGCCGTGATAAACTCCAAAGGCAGAAGTCATTAATTTCTTTGCTATGACTAGTATATGTATGATAGTTCTAGGATCTGTATTTGCAGTAGTACCCTTCCCCCTCCCCCAAGATTTTTTGAGGTGCCATATTTTCTTTGCTGTATTGTTGATCCATGCATAAACATTTTGCAGTCCATTCATAAACCTCTCTAATTTGCTTAAAGATGGAAAACACCAATATCTATACACATTTTCTTGGCAGGTATGTGCCCTCTCAGGCTGATATTGCAGTTTTTGATGCCCTGTCTGGTGCCCCTTCAGCTGACCTCTGCCACGCTCTGCGGTGGTACAACCACATCAAGTCTTACCAGAAGGAGAAGGGCAGGTAATATGATGCTTGACTGATATTTAATGCTTTGTTGGTACTACTTCCCCCAATATGTGATGATTATTCTATCACCATCTTTCGGCTGAGTGGCTGATGTACAATCCTTCAAACTCTGATTTGGCTGGGAGATATAAGAATGTCACAAGGGCTCTCGTCTAGTTGCATGCATTCACTCTCCTCTTGCCTTTAGCCTTCCAGGTGTGAAGAAGCCTCTCGGTCAGTACGGCCCTGCTGGTGTTCAGGACACGACGGCAGCAGCGCCTGCAGCAGCTGATGAAGACGACGATGACATCGATCTGTTTGGTTCTGATGAGGAAGAGGTTAGTACAGTAGCAGAACTGATGGTGTGTTTTGATCAAACTAACTGGTCACATGATGATTTTTCTCACCATCTTTCGGCTGATGTAGTGATGGACAACTTTTGTTTCTGAAAGCCAGTTAGTAGAAAAAATGTCCAGGCAGTTGCTCTGTTATTGTGCCATCTGCACAACTGATTATGAATGTATTTCCTTGCAGGATGAGGAATCCAAAAAAATCAAGGAGGAGAGGCTTGCAGCATACAACGCAAAGAAGTCAAAAAGTATGTAGTTGTCTTTTAAATCTACACTAATGGTCAAAAGTTTTTTTTTTTTTAAGTCTCTTATGCTCACCAAGACTGTTTAATCAAATACAGTTAAAACAGGAACATTGTAAAATATTACTAATTTAAAGTAACTGTTTTCTTTCTGAATATATTTTAACTTGTAATTTATTCCTGATGGCAAAGCTGAATTTTCACACATGATCTTTTAGAAGTCATTCTAAAATGCTGATTTGTTGCTTTATTATTATTATTGGTGATCAATTATTAATAATGGTTCCCATTATCAATGATTTTGCTGCTTAATGTTTTTGTTTAAACCATGAAACCTTTTTTTCAGAGTTCTTTGAATAAAAGGCAGAAAGAACGGCATTTATTAACATTAGGTGTCTTGGCTGTCACTTTTAATCAATTTAAGCAGCAAAAACTGTTTTAAACATTTGTTTCTTGAGCACCAAATCAACATGTTATAATGATTTCTGAGGAATCATTTTACCCCAAAAAGACATCACGGGAATAAATTACAATTTAAAATCAATTGGGGGAAAAAAGTTGTTTTAAATTGTAATATGACTTTACTGTTTTTCATAAAATGCAGCCTGGGTGAACATCAGCTACTACTTTTTCAAAAACATGATTTATATATGTGTAATTATACTAAACTTTTGACCGATAGTGTACATAGCAACGTTGACTAGTTTAATGATGATTTCACATCACCATCTTTCGACTGAATCTTGTGATTGATACTCATGTTAACCTGATATTCACTAGTCGTTAAATTGTGATGGTTGGATTCCTTTGTTTTCTTTCTGATTGACACTTGTCTTTTTAATGTCTGAGCAGAGCCTGCCCTTATCGCCAAGTCTTCCATCCTGTTGGATGTCAAGCCCTGGGACGATGAAACCGACATGGCCAAGCTTGAGGAGTGTGTACGCAGCATTCAGATGGACGGTTTACTCTGGGGACAATGTAAGTCAATCTATTTCATCCCTTGCAATTACTGTTAATTAAAACTGATTAAATGTTATGCCTACCCCCCAAAACTTTTCTTTTTTTTCTCTTTTAGGCCATTAATTACAGTTTTGTCTAATTTTTTTATTTTAATACACTAATTGTTATTTGACTTCTCCTGTACAGCTAAACTGTTGCCTGTCGGCTATGGCATCAAGAAGCTACAGATTGCCTGTGTCGTGGAGGATGATAAAGTTGGAACAGACCAGCTGGAGGAATTGATCACAGCCTTTGAGGACTATGTGCAGTCAATGGATGTGGCAGCCTTTAACAAGATCTAAAAGCATGACACATTAATCCAATAAAAACACTTAAAATGCAGCTTTGTTTCTTGATCTTTTTTATTTATTTGTATTTAAAGTTATACTTTGTCTTCTAAATTAACATTTTGAATATTTTGCAAATGATTAGTATTAACGTGCTATTTTTATGAAGTTAATTTAGTAATTTTTAGAATCAAATGTTGTGCAACTTCTAAAATTATGTAATTTGACTTTACGTGACGTGTATTGCCAGGTTTAACATGGTCATGAGAACTCTTTTGCAAAACTGCGTAGTTTGCAATATTTCTAATGTTCCGATCAACGAAGGCAATTTTCTATAAATGTTATTTGGCAGCGTTGAATTTAAAGCCCCATTGATTAAATTCCGTCCCAGACTTTTACTAGTGGGCGGATTCCCGCGCTTTAATCTTACGTCACTCCACGAGCAGACCTGCGCTAAAAACAGATACCGATGGGATCTAAGTGGAATAACATCCATAATCAGGTGAAAGCATGGTGAAGTCTGCAGCCTAATCAAGTTGATGCATTTCTAGATCATTTTTAAGTGGATATTTACCATGTCACGGTCCCGTTGTCACCCTCCACGTTGTCATGCTAAGTGCCACTAGCTTGCTAGGTGAGTTAGCATAGCAGGCTAGTTCAAACTGCAGTTTGTGTGATCCTAAACAGTGTTTGTATACTGATACAGTGTTTAAAATTCAAACGTTTTCAAATACATTTTAAGTGAAAGTGGGTTTCTGTGGTAATTCTGGGACGCGCTGTTTAAATGGCCGTGTTTGTGTTTGCAGGCCGGCACATGTATGTTAACGTTACACAACGAGTAGTTAAAGCTGAACATAGTAAAGAAAAAAAAACTTTTCAAATTGACGAGAAGTTGATTTGTGTATTAAAGTATTAAAGCTTATTTAAGATACAGACCTATTTTGTTGTTTTAAATATAAAATTAAGTTATATCAACCATAAGCACGAGGCCTTTTAAGTGTCTTTCTAATTCTGGTTAATGTATTATATATCTTTAGATATTACTGTTAACTTACTACACGTGGCTGTGCGGAAACGCGGTGATGTGACACGGAAACATTAATAGGCATCCTCTCCTCCATGTAGGTGAGTAACGTTATATACTCTTATTTTATTCTGTTCATAATGATATTTTACTTACATGTAAGTGTATCTATATGCAATGCTCAATATTGAATACATCAGTAATTGCTGGCAGTGAAATGTTTTCTGCAATGTACAATGCAAAAAAGTTAAAAAATTAAGCCATTTGCAAGTGGAAATTGCGTGTATAACATGTAAACATGTGAAATGTTTTTTTATATATATATATCTGTACAGAGTGCAGTACAGTAATAAACCATGCAAGCAACTTTCTCTCTGTGTTTGTGTGATTGTTTGAAGACAGTACCATGCCCTTGGAGGAAGGACCACAATCCTCTGCTAAAAGTAAGGTTCTCTAATCTCAAACTATTGAATTTCAGATTTATTTATTTATATAAATCATTGAGCACCAGAGAGCCTGTGTGACTAATAATAATAGCAACTAAAATAGTCCCTTTAAGACCGAATGCTCGAATCAAATAAACTGTTACACATGCATTTTATTTCTCAACTGTTAATTCTCACTTTAGGGCTGCACAATTAATCGAAATTAAATTGCATACGATTTGGCAAAAGCTGTGATTATTTTATGCACAGTTTGTTAGTGCAGCATGGCTGATGCTGCTCCATCTGAAAGCCAGAGGGTGCTCTCATGCAGACACTCTAAATATGCCCCTCCCCTCCGCATACTTACATATTTAGAATAATATACAGAAGATTGAAATGCTTTGATTTATTTATTAAATGTTGTCTTTTGTTGGACAAGAGATTCATAAATGCTTCTCATGTCTGGAAAGATATTTGACGTGTGTTGCTTTTTCAAATGCACGTTATAAGTTCAATGCTCGTTATTAACTCAAACTTCATAGACATATGAATCTGATATATCAGTGATTCTTGGGAATTTGGATAAAACAGGTTTTAATTTTGAAAATAAAAAGTTAGTTAAATTACAAAATCTAAAGGTATATCATTATAAAGCAAGGTCTTGGCTGTTCAGCAATGCACCGGTGCAACCTCCTCATTTTGTATTTTTTTCATAAAATAGGCGTTTCTCCAGTTATCACTTTGTTTTTGTCAACACCGTCAGACAAAATAAATAGCAAATTATTTTTTATTTGTTTGGTCTAATATGTATTTAGAATTTTTAAATCATTATCTGGCATTCTTGGTACACATATATGCTGTTAAATGTTGAATATTCACTTTTGTTCATTTTTTATACTGTTTTGCGTGTACTCCTTTAAAAGATATAACATCATACAACATTTACTTTAAGCCTAAATAGAAAAATTAATGTTGTTTTACTTAACAAACATATTTTTGTATTAAAAGAGACTATTACTTTAATAACTCAACAGCACTGAAGAATCATATTTCAAGTATATTCATTTAAAACCAATAAAACTCCCTCTGACGGTGGTGACTTTAGAACTGACGGTGGTGACATTAATCTGACGGTGGTGACTGTGACTCTTTACAACATACAATTCCACAATGTATACCACTCAAGTCAATCAATTCTTGCTTAACAACTTCATTTAACTCTTTGGTCCAAAAAAATAACAATCTTGAGCACTGTGATAAACATTTTTTTCCTTTTATGAGGTATTCCTCATTTAACTCTGCCTCACTGTGTATTTTCTCTCTCAGCTTTTTTTGGTATTCCCTGTTTCTTCTCCTTCTCTCCTCTATATAGCTGCTGCCTAGCCATAACTTTCGAAAATACATAAAGTCAAAGTTGAGTGTAATGACTATGAAATTGGGGTAATTACAGCGAATGTTAGATTTGTTTAAATGATGTCATGCCATTTTCATTTGGCTTTAGTCATTGGAGATGCATAGCCTGGAATGGATAGTGCATACTATGTGCTGTGTAGGTAGGCAGTAGCTGCACTATGTGCATCCTTAGTTCTGGTTAGTTCTGGCAGGTCACGTTAGTCAAGCTCGCATCAGCCGACTATTAGCTGATCCACCTCCCCCTATAGGAATATGACGCCTATCACTGTACACATATACAGTATAAGCTCCTTCAGTATTATCATCAGCTATCACGTTTCTCAGGAGCTCATTACCCTCCTCCTTCCCAGCTCCACTCGTCAGTCAGGACTTGACATTCTGATTCCCCAAGAATCTGAATAAATTCTCGAATTATATTGTACTTTAAATTTTGAAATAATCTGCAAAACATTCATGTTGGTTCTGTTCTGTTTACCCCAAGGGGGTTATTGCTGCTCCTATCCATGCTAGGCTTTAACAAATTTTTAGTGTGGGCAAAAATCTAAATGAACGTCATGAAACACAATTTAATCGCATCAAACGTGTTCAGATTAGAACTGCTGTATTCCTGCAGCTGAACCACAGCCGTGAGGATATCAGGAAACATCCTCACTCTCACTCGCGCTCATAGTAGCATGCAGTGTAAGCCTGAATGGAAGAAATATAGGGGGAATTAAATAAATAAAAATATTAAAGAGGTGAATGGAACATTACAGGATAATATATTGGTATTTATTGTGATCAACAATTATATTCTAGCCTCTGTTATAGACCATTTGGGGGGTTTTGTCACCACCGTCACACGGTATGTCACCACCGTCAGATAGAAAACCTGACGGTGGTGACGTCTGACGGTGGTGACAAAACCTACTCTTTCACATGATATGCATGAGTTGTTCACATTATAGCCATCTTGTTTCCCCTCTGTTGCTAGCTACTTCAGACCTCTTCTTAAAAAGTATACAATTATGTCATAATCTAATCTAATATTTTCTATACAAAAGAGACGGTGTTGACATGTTATGGTTGTGACAGTAGCAGTGCCCAAATATATGAACAAATTTAAGAGAAAATAGCAAAATTACGGGAGCTTGAGTGATCTTGAAGCATGCTGTAAAGCTGAAGGTTTGAAAATGGGGTATGGAGGAATGTAGTTGACCTTGTAGTTGCCTGATTTTATTGCTTTTTATAAATATCTGACGGTGGTGACGAATATGTGGGACACATTTTGAACAACCACAAAATAATAGTAAATATTGTTCAAAACTCAATGTTTGTAGTTTTTAATACATATTACAATGTACTCTTTTGTGTGGTAAATATATTATTCAATTCAATTATTCCTTTTTGTTTTTTTAATCAAGTTGAAATGATTATCTCCTATCCGAGGACAGCTGATTTTGTAGGCAATGGGCCAGGATATAATCATTAAAATAATAAAAATGAAAAATAAACCTATAAAAGAACCTTACATATGTGCAAAGGACCCCCTGATTATAAACTTGATTCTTTTCATTCATGAAAATGTTATTAATTTCCAACAGAATTAGCACTTTTTTTAGTGGGACATGTTTTTGCCAAAGTTTCAAGAATCAGTGATATCTATTCTGCTCTCTGTTGTTGGTGTTTCTTTGTCACAAGTACTCTACTGCCTGTTCACGAATGCACGGGCCCAATACCGATCCTGGTATCAGTATAGGTGCATCCCTATTTATTAGGTTCCATGTAAACGTAGCTATTGAACAGCGGCTTCATGTGTGCATGTCACTCAGACAGCTTTCAGAAACCATATCAGACAGCATGCATAGAGCAAAATAAGTTCACTTTTGCTGCTATTTGTGTTTTAACAGTTTACAAAAAAACACTGGTTTTTAAACCACAATGCTTAAAATCCATGCAAACAATGAGCTTTTGTGAAAACACAGAACAGCCGAGTCACAGGAGCATAACCACAATAGAGATGAGAATCCATAATCACTACCAGCTGACAAATTTCTACCAGGTCATCGTGTCTACTGATATATCGCCCACCCCTAGTCCGGATCGAAACGTTAGGAATTGGTCTCAATTTGGGTGAGGGCCAGAAACTTCACATAAACACATGGTCTTTTTCTTGCCCTCTAAGAGGTGTCTGTCAGATGTCCTAACATCCTTGTCTGATAGTGTTGGACATTTTTTTGTGCTAGTCCACCAAGAGCCAATTCAAATGTAGCCAACCTTTCTCTACTGTTGCAGCCAAAGAGGGGCCTCGACTGGGCCCTGGAATGTGCTGTTCACGACACTTGGTGGAATCTAGCCAAATTAGATTCCAACATGGACAGGTTGTGAGACATGTCCTTATCTTTAAAAATGATGAACAACTCTACAAAAGAAAATAGAATAATAGGAAGACTACAATAAATATTGAGAATGAACATTAATAATGAGAAATTGTTGTCTTAAGTTATCTAATAAATAGTTATAAGTTATGTTTATTTTAAGGGCATTTTTCTTAACTTTTATAAGATAAATAGATTTTCTACTGTGTTGGGTCACCACTGATATACAATGTAACATCCGGAAGCAAAACTAGTTGAGAACCACTGATTCAGAGAATGCATGTAAAAAAAAATGTTCATGTGTTGTAGATGCAGAGAGGTGTCCAGCTGCTATGTCCGGCAGGTGAGTTGTCTGAAAATAAATTCAACATTTGCACCAACCCACTAGCCATTCCATTATGGATTCTCAGTAGTAATTAAATTGCAAATTTAAACAGATATTATTTATCAAACTTTATTTTTTGCCCCATCTGAAGGACTAGTAGAGGAGAACAGCCTGTTGCTGGTCCTTCTGGCTCCCAAAGACAAGGTTACTGCAGCTGCTGTCAAGTTCTGTACAATAGTGTGGAACAGGTGCGTAACTCTCTGGCATCCATCATTCCTTCCCCTTTAATTACTGTTTTGTTCAATGTGTTTGTTAAACTTGGATTAGTAGTTCTATTTAAACAAATCAATGGCTAATAAGAACTAGAAATATATTGCGTTCCATATTGTGACTTCCATATTCTAATATCATGCTTTTATGATATTCATATTCATCTTTTATAATAATTAATATTATGATATTATGAATTATTAGGGCTTTATTGTAAACAATTTATTGTTGTATTCTGCAGCATATCTTGAGTGCCCAACATAGAGAAGTGGTACGAGCTGCTAGAACAAATGTATCTTCTGGAAGTTTATTAGAGAGATTCCTCCAGGATGTGCTCCAGCATCATCCTCATCACTACAGCGATACAAGGTAGGCTATGTTTTAATATATCAGATTTCTTATTTAGCATGTTAATTGAAAAAAAAATATTTAGCCATATTTGTTAATTGAAAAAAAAAAAAAAAAAAACGGTTCAGTCATTGCTTTTGACTCTTCTTTTTTTACTGTAGGCCTACCCATGCTGATCTACCCTCGCTAACCACCCCACTTGTCCCAAAGGAGGTGCTCTCAGAGGTGTACTGTGGATCAGATGATAATGAAGTCTCTGTTGGGACACGAGAGGAGATGCCTACCTCTGATGAAGAGTCATGCCAAATGCTGCGAATCGCAGCCTCAATTCCAGCAGTGACTACTGACCTCACTGCAACTACACACATACAAACTGATTCCCAAATAGGAAAAATGGTGCCTGAACCACCTCCCCCTGAAAAGTATTCCCCCACACAGGGTTTTTTGCACAGGACTAGTGGCAGCTCTGCCAATGAAAAACCACATACATCACAATTGACACTACTTGATCAGAGAGAAAGCTCACAAACACACTCTGGACATCCCTGTGCTTCAAAGCAGCCACCAGTCGCCAAGGCTGGAATTGTTGAACACAGGAAAGCACACAAGAAAACCAATAGGGATAATGAGGGGAGCGACTCCATTACAGCATCCCATGCACCACCAGTTGCAAAGAGCATTACCTCGAAGGACCAGCCTGCAACCTTTCAACCAGTGGCTGAGTCGTCCACAGTGTGGATTTCAGGACTGCCTCTTTGGAAAGGCCTTCATAGGGAACAGACATTCAGTCATCTATCTGACCAGATTCGAGATGTGATAGAGGAGGTTATTGAAAAATACTGTTATGGCTACAGTCTCAAAGTTGACCAGCAAGAGGACGATGGCAGCTTCCTTCTGAGTCCTCAGTCTATGAGTGAATCTGAAGGCAGTGAAGAATGGGACAATGCAGTACAGGTGGCTCTGGGAAAGGCAAAGGGTGAAGAAAAGAATTTAGCCGAATTACTGGAAGTGCATATAAACCTTGAAGACCAAGAATACCAGACTCAGCTGGACACAGCTCTAAACTCTGTGGGAACACCTGAGGAAACCAAGGAAAGTGCTCCTGAGAAGGTGTTTCCCGATCTTCCCCACATACCACAGTCTTTTGTTGGAAAAACGTGGACACAGGTGATGTTTGAAGATGACAAGAAGATAGATTCTATAGTTCAAGAATTCCAACAAGGCGAATTCCGTTGCTATTTTGACAGTGAATCCTTGGCTATGTTTGGAAAGCACAGTAAGAAAAGGAGAAAGAACAAGAACCAGGGCAAAAAAGATAAAGCAGATACTGCTGGGTGTGAGCCTACAGACATCTTGCCGCTTTTGGAACACAATGAAGAAGACCCCAAACATTCAGCTGTTTTTTTGAGAAGAACGAGGCAAAAAGTTTACAGATTAGCATCACGTTGCCAAGTGGTAAAGGTAAGCCATGGTACACAGACCATCCCTCTTAGCTACCCCGTGGTGCGACCAAAATCAACACAAGAAACATTCCCCTCAACACACAGTGAAGAGCCCCAGCAATGCCCTAGCCCCGAAAGGACCCCTGACATGAAGACCAGACTATGTGCATTAAAGCTTCCTGCTTCTTACTGCAAACTAATGAGTCCTCTACAGCCTAAAACTGTGGTCTATGTGCTTTCTTCCCCAGATGGGGGTCAAGGAATCTCCAAGCCCACTCCTATTAAGAAAGCAGGGAGGAAGCGAAAGTCATGTGATAGTGATGTTGGACCAAAGTACAAGTACAAAAAGACACCTCTTAAGTTCTACGACCCTTTGACCAATAGGATCTTGAAGAGTCCACCAAAAGGCATGTCTTTACCCTCTAATTCCAAATCTCTTTCACATGTCCGGCAGCTGTTCCGTAGCCTTAGTCCGGATATTAATAAGGAGAGGCAGGGCCTGGAGCAGGGGCAGTCATCAGGTGGATCTCGAAAGGGTCGTGGTAGGAGCAGCATGGCTGATCTGTGTACCTCCACCTCAGACTCTATTCTGGAGAGCGGTGGCCCCTCAGAACCTGGTTCTTCTTTGTCCAGCAGCCGAAAAGCCTTATTCACCCGCTCCTCTATCTCAAGTAGCAGTTGTTTCCTCCTTGGACACCTCACTCCATCAGCCCATGTGGATGATTCTTCCAAAGCACGTTCTCACTCTTGTGCAAGTAGTTCCTACAAGGTTGGAGGACTGGAACAAGAGGAACACCGACAACAAACACCAGTTGACCAAACACCAATCAGACGTAGCTTACGGAGGGCTGGACCTTTGACTCCAGCCAAGAGACCGTCGGGACCCCCTTATAGGACTAAGAGGAAGTCAACTAAACCACAGCGCAAAGGAAAATCACAAAGCAATCTCCGGCAAACTGTTAGCTCCCATATATCTGCAGAATGTAGGACATCTCCCAGAAACAAGAACCCTGTTAGGGCCACGCTTAGATCATCGGCTTCCTCTAAACTGGCGATTCAGCCGGTTATTACAGCCTCTTCTAAACAAATAAATACAATGCTCAGTGCCAGTCAGCAGAAGAGAGTGAGGGGGAGGACCGCCACTGTAAATATAGCAGACTGAACGTTATCAGATACCAGCCATGAGCATAAGCTGTCATCTGTTCTTCAAATGCTGTATAGTTTTGCACAGTTGAATTTCAGCTGACTGTTTCTAGTTGAAGTTCATTTTTGTCTGTATATGTTTGTTTATTTGTCATATGCATTTCTTAACTTGTAATGAGTATATTTTTTAAGTTTCTAATGGGTATTTTCACAAAGGTTGATATAAATGGTTGTAAATTAAATTTATAATTAATATTTTTGTCTTTCATAAGTGTATTAGCTTTTCTCTTTGGGTTTTGGCACTATATCAAATTGTCTTACAAAATAACAAATGCAAAAACTGCTTAAGTCAACGATACGCATCCTACAGGCGAATGTGCTCTTTTGAAATCAGCCATTCATTCTCTCTCACAAACAATCAATACAAGTGCCTTTATAGGCCTTTTAAACCCTGCCCTTTAAAAAAGTTTTGATGTTCCAAATGGATGAGGTCAAAGCATCTTAGTGATGGAAGGGATATTCCAAGAAAATGAGCTGAAGTGGCAACATTGGTGTTTTTTTTAAGTATTTCATTTAATTTAGTTAAGTCAAGTAAAGTTGGTTTGGGAATCAGACGTAATTAAACACTTCACAGAGAGCAATATATACAAACAAATTACAGTTTGGGGATACAAGTAGTGTGCATTAGCAGAGTATTTCTGTTGCAAAATGCAGTGGTGTGGGTTGAGAAAAAAATGAAAGAATAAATATATAATTACAGCTGAAAAATACATCTGTATATCAGGGCAGCAATGTTTCCCTTATTTTGATACATTTAACACATTCTGTTGACTATAAGTAACGCTGCACCTACATATCTACTAACCCTCATTAGAGTATTAGTAGACTGGTAGGGTAAGGGTTAGAATAAGTTGACGTACTTGTAAAGTTATAGTCAGTAGAATTTTTGTTGGAGGACCATTGCATTAAAGAGTTAGCAGATATTAAGCAGACAGCCTAATACTCTAATGAGAGTTAGTAGAAATGTATTTGCAATGTTATTTAAAGTCAAAAGAATATTCAAAATGGACCATCAAAATAAAGTGTTGCCGCACCGGTACCAGTAGTAATATTGTATGATGCAACTAATAAAAATAAAATATATAGTGCAAATAATGACTAAAAAAAATAATTCCCCCAAAACATTTGAACGATGGTCTGTCCATGTGGTCTGACGTAAATACACTTGTAATGAACTGATTAACTAATGTCTTTATTAACATGTGAAAGACCAACCCTTTTATTTCAGGCTTAGATTGTGGGCTAGTGTATAGACATTCTAGTTGTCTAAATGTATTAGGTCATTGAGAAGTCATTAGTAAATCTCTGAATTTCTGTGTACAAAGTGAAAATGGATGACGCGTCAGCGCAGCAGAAGATGCACTGCGCAGTCGCAGTGGCTTCCCTTACGATATGAGCTGCTTGCTTGGCCACCGCCTTCCATCCACCCGTGCTACCACCCCTTTGCCTTCTTCCCAGTCCTCCCCACCTCAGCATCCCAACCGTGATACCCACCCCTCAGTCTCCGATGCTGCATGAAGGATTTCCCCCTCTTCCCGCGGGATACGCACTAAAATCGCCCTCATAATAATGGACTCGCTGTAAATTGATGCGCTAATGACATTTTATTTAGTCTTCAAATATGAATCATGCGTCTGATATTCCATCTGTGTCTGCTCGCTAGCATATTTCTTTCCGTGCCATCTTCTATCGCCTCAATCTCAACGGGTAAGTATAACCTTCACGTTGCGTAACTTTATAATTTACATAATATTATTCGATATTGGCTCTACTGTAACGTTACGTTAGTTTTAGCGCAATTTGTTTTTCCAACGCCTTTTGTTGCGGCAGGAATTCCCAGCAAAATACGCAGGTTCTGTGTAGGCTTTGATTGAGCAGCCTCCATTACTTAACTGTGTTTACGACCGTTTATACATGTCAATCTCTGCAGAGGGGGGGTAAAAGCTTTTGAAGGCCTCTCTAAGGGTTGACAGCCCCATTAGTATGGTGTTCTATGGGAACGTGGTATAAGGACTGAATCTTAATTCGATTACCATGACAATAGATTACCATTTGCTGACATGATGCGTGTCTAATGCCTTTACAATTCAGAGATCAGATATCCAAATATCCAGCTGATAAAGTTGAGAAAAAAATGATATGGCTGTGTTTTGTCAATATGTCTGTTGCCTTTACGTTTCATGTCTCGCCCTCTCATCCACTGTCATAAATGTGTGATCAGATTTCAGTGTTTTATTTGGTTATGAGCCGTAGTACCTCCGTTCGATACACTGAGATCTGCATAAGTGAGATCTGTGCGCAGCTTCTCTGCAGCATCACAGGGCTGCAACTGCTGGCTGGCACACGTTCATATATAATTGAAGGGATCCTTCTCTGAGATGAAGACTGTAAAGCAGTAAACAGTGTCCTCCTATCCTGCAGTTTCCAGCGCCGTGCAGAATGAGGATCTCAGGGATCAGCACGTGCCTGAGACCCCGCGAGAAGCGACAGCAGCGGCACAGGGCAATTCCACGGGAAGAAAATCGGAAGAGCATGAGGTCACCGTCACATATCCCTCCCGGCTCATTTACTACTTGAATGAGGATTCGGAGAGCACGTACCATGACCTGGACACTCGGGCGAGGAACCAGGCCGTGGATGGGCAGGTGAGACGCAAAATATGAAGAGCCCTCCCCCCTGCATTTAGGTCTTCAACACTCATGCGCTAAGGAGTTGTGAAGCAAGGAAGCTGCTTCATTTCATACCTCTAGCAGCTGCTGGGAATGGTGCAGTATGCCCAATGCTCAGAGTTGATCCAGGTTCACAGGCCCTCCCTCACAAATCTAATGCACTTTTCGCAAAAGAGGCAGTTTTCTCTCCCTCGCTCTCCATACTGAACAGACGTTGTGGGATTGCATTGTGCACACACTCTCACTTTACTTTTGCCAATGCAGTATTTCTGCTGTAATACAGCACAGCTGTGTGATTTATGATGCTCTTGACTAGAGCAGGTGTTTTATCTATAGATGCCCTTGCAGAGATTTGCTTTTTGAACATATTAGTTAATGTGTGTGCAAGACAGACATGAAATTTTATCATTACATTTGCGGGCTTTGCCGGGCCGGCACATATGTTTTGTGAAGTGTTAATGAGACCTTGTTTATCTCCCTGACCACAGGATGTCCACCTGGCCCAAGCAAGTTTCCAGCTGGACGCCTTTGGCTCCACATTCACCCTGGACCTCACTTTGAACAAGTAAGTGTGTGTGTCTGTGTGAGTAAAAGACAGGTCTGCCTCTCAGAACAACGTATTGCTCTGGTGTTCAGTTCTAAATTGTACATTGTTCAGTTGAACACTGCTATATTCTCTCCTTTTTGTATTAAAATCCTGAAATCTCTCGCTAAAGTTCTTCCTTGCTTATCATGAAAATTTGAGTGAATGGTGTGCCACTTTCCTATTCAGTCCTCTCCTCCCTGCCATTTATTGTCTGTCAGCACCTTTACATTAAAGGCATTCGTTGAAGAGCTAAGAACATTGTCGTTACTTTAAATCATCTGAACTATTCCCTGTAAAAAGTGTGAAGTAAAAAGTGCTAGGTGTTTTATTTGAGATTAACTGCCACCCTAGTAATTACATTTTCATTTATTCTGTCAAGGCTGTTTACAAATGTGGAACATCACAAGCAATTTGAGAGCTAACAATATTCCTTCTTAGTATACTAAGTAGAAAGATTAGGAAACAACCCAGCTAACATTCTCAGAACTTGTGCTGATGTTCTGACAAGGTTCTCTCAAAGTTATAAACAAACATTTGTCCAGTATCGTTAATAGAACCAAAGTTATCTGCTTTTTATTAATGTTCTTATAATGTTAGCATAAAAAAAACATTATTTAAACATCATTCAAATGTTCAGTTGCACCAAAGACTATAGATAAACAAAGACAGCTCACTTTTATTACTTATGAATTGGAGAAACTGCAACGTGCGATATGGCGGAACACGTCCCGCCTTCTAAATAAAAAGAGCCAATCGTTGATAGGTAAAGTCATTGCGTCACTATAGCTGGTCTGTTTCCCATAGAAACCTTAGGACTGCACATGCGCATTGGCTGGGCTAGCCTAAAAAAAAACCTCTTTTAATGCCATTTGAGCAAAAGAAACAACATTTATAGGACAGTTCGTGTCAAGTGTGTGTTGCTGATTTGAAATATGTCATTAAATTGTTATAGTTCGGCAATTAGTTTTTGAGATTTCAGGATTCCCACATTCAAATAGATAGGACTTGGTCTTGGATGCCTGAAATAGGGGTGCAGAGTAGGGGTGTTACCATTCCCTCATGTCAAGATTCGATACATATCACGATACTGAACTTACGATACGATATTATTGCGATACTCCAAGACAAATGGTAAAAAGTTAACAAAAAATGTGCTGTTTATTCAAATGCTAAATTTGATACGACATTGTAGGTTTAAATGGCTTGAACTTGGTGCTTGTAACCCAAGGACAATAGTGACACCAGAAAAAAAATATCATGATTCTGATGCTGAAATTACTGAGTTATTGTAGATGAATATGCTTGCACGCTTTCACTGACTAGATATATTTAAAATATTGTCAGCCACTTTTTACTAGTAACATCAGACATTTGGCATTATCAGGACCCACAAATATTCCCACATTGCATTATTATACATTATAATCAACATTATAAAATGTAGTACTGACACTAAAACTCTGAAAACTTGAATTTTTTTCTCACACCGTAATTTTATTTTGGGGGGACGATCCACGATACATATTGTCACTATCCACAATACGTATTGTTGGATTTTTGTATTGCGATATATTGTGGCACAATGTATTGTTACAGACTTTCCTTGAAAGGGACTTACGCTCATCTTATGTGTTTTTTAAATGTTACCTCCTATGTTCGAATGTTTAGAGAAAATTTAAAAGTGACATACAATTTTTGAAGAATGATAAAATTAAATGTTCCCTTAACGTTCGCATAACCAAGAAAAAGAATAACATTTTAGAAACTGGATGTTTTAAAGAGTTAGTTCACCCAAAAATGAAAATTCTGTCAGTATTTACTCACCCTCATGTTGTTCCAACCCCGTAAGACCTTCGTTCATCTTCAGAACACAAATTAAGATATTTAAGATATTAAGATTGCTCCTGCATACTAGTCCATAGGCTTCTTGAGGGAATGAC